GGGTGCCTATCGCAGTGGCTGTGTGGAACGGGACAGGGCTGTGTGAGGCTGTGGGCATCCGAGTGCCTGGAGCTTCAGTTTCTCTGCAAACTGGAGGGCAGCGTGGGCAGCCTGGCTGGGTGGGACGCTGTGGGGCACAGCTTTGGGGGCTGCCCCGTGGCATGGGGACTACTACTGTGGGGCAAGGTCTGCCTGGGGGACATGATCAGTCCCATAGGGGACATCTGTGGGGATGGATCCCGTGGGCACATCAGGACACAGCATTCTGAAATGTCCCATTGCCTGTGTGCTGAGGGTCCCCACAGCCATGAGCCATGGACCAGGGATGTCACAGAACCAGAACACAGTGCTGTCACAGCTCTGGATCGCTGTGGTTTTCCTCATGGAAAATTCCCCCAAACCCAAACCCCCCTCCTGGAAGAACAGAAGACTCCAAAGCCACCTTTCTCCGGTTCCTCTGCTCATAAAATCCAGGTGACTTTGGTCGGGGCATGGGATCGGGGACGCACCCACCCCTGGCACAGCTCCAGCCCCCAGCCGTGTCCCCGCCGTTCCCGTGCTCGGTGCACGATGCCACATGTGCTGCACTGCTCTCCCAGCCCTGTGTGGAAACGGCCGGTGCCTGCTGGATGTCACACATGGGACAGAGGGGCCGGGCGGTGCCGAGAGCGTGGAGGAAACCAGAGCAAGGAAGGGGGGTGCCGGGCTCTGCCTTCTTATCTCCCGGTGTTCCAACGGTCATGAGTGGCTGTGGGCCAGGAGCTGTGGCTCCATCAAGATATTTACCCCTGTGGCACAGTGCCATGGAACAGCCGCCCGGCACTGCACGGCACAGCACAGCCCCTGTGCACCCACGTGCGGCCTGGTGCAAGTGTAGCTGTGGGCTGCTGACATGGGCACAGCCCCAGGGAAGTGCTGCAGGGGTCTGTGAAGCCGGGATCCCTAGGCCACCCCGTGCCAAGCCCTGAGCATCATCCCTGTCCCCATCCTGCTCCCCGTGTGGGACCCGTGGTTGTTATGGCAACAGGTTCCCGGGCTCCTTCCCGCTGCCGTTCCCTCTCCTCCCGCGCACGAAGGCGCAGTGTGAGGGGGTGGCCAGGTCCCCTCCCTGCTCTGCAGCAGTGTGAGCGCCCACGGCCCCAATAACAGCTCTGGGAGCGGCCCCCACCTGTACCCATTCTGTCCCTGTGGGCACAGCCGGGATGGGTACCGGGACACGGCGATGGGGATGGAACATGGTGCTGCAGCCACTGCCCCACTGCACGCTTCTATGTACTGCAAAATGGCAATGGTGTGGACCTGTTCTTTGTGGGGTCAGTGTTGGCTGAGCCCTGAAGCTCCCTGGGCTGCTCCGGAGCTGTGCCATGCCGTGCCATGCCATGCCATGCCGTGCCGTGCCGTGCCGTGCTGTGCCGTGCAGTGGGGGCTGCAGCTCCGTGCAGCAGCAAATCCTCCTGCAGAGAAAGTAAAAATAGCAGCAGGGTGCGGGAGGCAGCGCTCACCCCCCACCTGCCAGCACTGGGAGGAATGGGAGCTTCGGTGCCACTATGGGGACAGCGCGGCCACCGGGACGGGCATTGAGGGGATGGGGAGCTGTGGGGATGGGATGTGGTGGGATCCTACGGGGGAACGGGGTGCTGCAGGGACACGGTGTGGGAGGGGTGCAGGTCGTGGGGATGGGGATGCGTAGGGCCGGAATACGGTGGGGACGTAGCATCCTGGGGGCAGGGAGTCGTGGGGACGGGTCAGTGTGAGGATGGAGCATCGCGGGGCAGCGCACGTGGGTGGCGCACAGGAGGATGCCGGAATTCGGTCCGAAAGGTGAGTGCGGGGTGGGAGGGGGCTGGGCAGTGGTGTGGGCGGGGCCACGGATGGGGCGGGGTCAGGGTGGGGGGGTGTCAGTGGGTGCCTCCGTGCCCCCCGTGCTCCCCACCCCGGGGAACCCTTTTGTCCCATCCATGGCACTCCTCCCTGCCCGGGCTGTTCGGGGTCCTGCAGAGAGTGGGGTTCTGGGGGGGCACTTTCGGGGTCCGCCCCCCCTCCTGCGTTTCCCCCCAACCCCCTCACCATCCCCGCAAAGTGCGGCGGGGGCGGCGGGCGGGGGCCGAGCGCTCCCTGGGGTGCAGAGGATGTGCGGGTGTGGGAACACGCGTGGGAGCGCGCGTGGGAGCAGTGGGGAGGGGGGGGGTCGAGGGGGCCTTAACCCCTTCCGTGCTGGGACCCTCCCTCCGGGAGAAGCCACGAGGAGAAAGGGGGGTCGGGGTCTGCTGCCCACTCCCTCCCCCTAAATGGTGCTGCACTGGGAGTCGCGCCCCCCCGGCATCCCTTCGTGTGCTGTGGGGAAACTGAGGCACAAAGCAGCGCTGGAGGGACCGCGGGGCTGCAAAACGCTAACCCCTCTCCCCCCCCCATACAGCACGGGGGGCTTCGCCCTGACGGGTTGGGGGCTCTCACCCATTTCCCTTCAAACCCGGGGGGCTCCAGGGAAGGCACGGGGTGGGGTCGCGTCCCCATGTCCCCTTCAGGACGAGGGGGGGGGGAAAGAGGGGCACGGCCCGGTCCCTGCACGTCGGGGGGGTCCCAACGCCGTGTCGCCAGGAGGTGGGCGAGGACCCCGTCCCCGTGTCCCGGTGCCACCGGCGCTGCTGCGCTCGGCCGGCAGGTGTCAGCCCCGGCGCGGTGGCACGGCGGGGCCCGGGGGGGGTGGGGACGCGGAGAGAGGACCGGAGCGGCTCTCCTGGTCCTCCTGGGGCTGCGGGCACCGGGGTCAACACCGGGGAGGACGCAGCGCACCGGACACGCGAGGCCGGGCTCATCCTGCCTTGCGGGCTGCGAGGTTAAATGGGTGGGGACCCCAAAACCCGGCTCCCAGGGGGCAGCAATGAGAGAAAACCGTGGGGCACCCCCGGCCCTGCCTCAGTTTCCCCATCTGCAGCACATGTCCTCCAAAAGCCCCAGGTGCCGATGGGGGAGGCGACCCCGCGTGCCCACTGCCCCATACCCACCCCCGTGCCCCATCACCACCGCTGTGTGCTGCTGGAATGGGGGGCCCTGCTGGGCTGGGGGCCATCCTCCCCATTCCCCCCCCACCCCACAAGGACCCTCCTGAAAAGGGTGGGCGACCCACTCCGAGCCCAGCCGCCAAACACGGACCAGTTTGCTGCTTCCATTCCCAGAAGAAAGAATAAAGTTAAAACATCTGTTAATTTATAAACCAATTTAACCATGACTGGTTAATAAATAGCTAACAGCTGCCAGCCCCGCTACCCCGCCGCCCCAGAGAGGGGCACTCTGGGAGCAGCCGGGCGCGCACATCTCGCGAGCTCTCCCTCCCCC